ACTCCCACCTGACTCCTAGATATGACAAAGATACATACAATAAATGCATTACGAAATGTGTTACACGTTATGCGACTTTTCTCAATAAACACATAAATAAAATTGTAACGTCTAGTCTTGACAGTTACTGATAATAACTTAAAGTAAAGATCCCTTATTGAAAATTTAAGTGTTGTCTGTTATTAAGGTTGATAATGAAAAATTAAACAAGCGCATATTATTTTCTTAAACTTTCTATGATTTAAAGAAATCATGATTTAAACGAATTGATCCTACTTTTTTCCTGAAAGATATTTGATTATAGTTAACTTTTATAATTAGGGTCATAAACTCAATAGGCTATAATTGGAAAAGACCATTTAAGCCTAAAGAATGCTATACAGTTTAACTCTCAGACAGATTTGTTTTGGTGTCGACTTTCAGTTATTAATATGTAACGAAGTGGCCATTAAGCTGAGGTATTATTTGCCTAGCAATTACATACTATTATTAGTTATAGTGATCTAGTACTTATTACAACATTCTAAACATTTTACTTCTTCTTCTATGATATATTATTTCACCTTTAGCGCACAATTGTCTTCGGCTGTTGTCCAATATATTCAACTGAATGAGGAGTGAATTGTTGAATGCCAAAACTTTATGAAAAATAAATACATGTTAAGAGAAACGAAGTATACTCGATCAATCAATGAATACAAATTATTTTTTGTTGTTGTTTCATTCTGTTGTTGTTGTTTTGCTTATTCGTTTCTTTTAAAGTATTCAAAAAAGTACTACAGTTGTAGGTCAATATAGCTACAGGACAACACATGAAGATTGGTTCAAATGAACAATTATATTGACATAAGTTCTTTATAGTTGAAATCGACTTTCTTATTCACGTCAATCAGTTTTAGCCGAACAATTCTCGATAAGTTTTTATTTGCATATGTTTTAAGTTGAGTTCCGTTTCCTTATTTGGAATTTATTTTCATATTTTGACATGACATAATAAATTTGTTTGAAAAAATGTTATAATTGCTTAATGCAAAGGACGCCAATGATGGCTCAGTTTTATGGCCAATGAACAAATTTAAAAAGCAACAACCAACCAAAATTGGAGTCTTGTTAAAAATAGACAAACTGTTTTAAAAGCTAAGTTGAGCTTAAAGAATTTGATGCTTTTTTGACTAAAGAGGTAAATGTACAGGTATTCGACACAAAAATATTCCCTAGTTAATTAAGGCAAACTAGAATGTGTACTTGATTTCAATTTTTAAAAATGATTCATGTTTGTGTATCCAATTCAATTTGTTAAACGCGTTCAATACATTTTTATACCAATTGCTTATTAATTATTTATACATCGAATCAATTCCTAGTGACATACAAAATAATCTGATGCAGGTGATGCTTATGTGAGTGCCCTTTATGAACAGAGTTATCCCCAATTTAACAAACACATACAGCAATCAGCACTTTTTGTAACTTAAACTATTTGACCAGCCTTATATTAATCAACTAATGCATAAGTTTACAGATGAAGCATTCATCGATCCCTCTAAACACGTTTGACTATTGAATGTGTAATTACAATGTTTCAGTGACATTAATGAAATATTTATAGTTAATGATCAATAAAAATGAATATATAGGGAACTAGTTTCCATATATGTTATGTAATACAAGTTATATTAAATAACTATGTCAGCGTGTGTTTTTAAATGCCAGGTGACTATGATGCTACTGGAATATTTGAATTATTTTTGTAGTCTTTAGATATTCTATTTCTATCTATTTTCTTATAAAATGTAACTCGACTACAATATGAAAGCATGCAATGATTATTAGACTTTGATGAGAAGTGTTTAACTTTATAACTCAGTCATCTTTATTTAAAGTTCATCGAAAGGATTCATGAATTTACTAAAGTGCATTATATTTCTGCAAAATGGATCCGATGTTTATTGTTCACTATCTTGCCATTGAATATTTTTAACAGGCAATCATTTACATGTTATGTTTGTGTGAAATATTTGACTTTCTCCAAAATAAAGAAGAACGTTAAAATCAATCTTTGCTTGCAACAAAATGAGATTATATAATCTGATAAATTGAATCAAATATAAGATCTTGTTCGTTAAATTACAAATACGATAGAAACAGAAGCAGCACAGGGAAACTCAATATCTGTTTAAATAATCGCTTCCATATTTCATTCTTGAGACAGTGAATTTGAGAAAATGAAGGATCTTATAGCTTGATTTTCTTTGTTTCAGGAAGTGATATTATTATGTTTCTCCTGATAATTATTCTGTAACAATCTGTGTCAATTATAAGTATTATTGTCTTAAAAGTTGTTGTTTCTTTTTTTTATCATTATAAATATTTCAAAATGCAAAATACGAATATTTTTATCTACCTTTCTGAGCTGATAATGTCTCATTTACCCCATAAGTACAGCTTTTAATCAGAAAATATCTTCTGCAGTAGTTTGTAACCTAGTAATGTTTAAAAAAGTTTTACGAACGGAATGATGTAGCACCCAGCTATCCTATTTCTCTGAGGATTATGAAAAGTGACATAAGTATGTAAACAGGTACACACGAAATACATGAAATAGAAGCGGGTCAACTGAGTTGTGCAGATAAAACTATAAAATTCTCTTTTCAGCCTTTATTTTATCAACATATTGTTTTCGGATAATACAAAGTCACCTCTTCTTTGTAACAATCTACCCACCAGGCCAGATTCATCACAAAATAGAACTTGAATATTTCACCACATATAGTGTTGTCTCAAAATGATCAAAGTTTAATTGATATTCTTAGCATTCGAAGACAGCGTAATTGCAATATTTGCATAATGTCTGTCTGTGCAATGATATATGAACATAAAAATAAATAGAAAGTACGTAGTAAAACAGCAAATAAATCACTTCCGTTGCAGACTAAAACAAATTGTTTAAGATCCATGCAGGTTTGAGTAAAATTTAACAAATGTCATTGTCGGAACAATTGATGTTATCAAAGAACATCAAGAGTATTCCAAAGAATTTGTCTTGGAAAAGTCACAGTTCAAATTAAATCTAATTCCAACCATATTAACCATAGAAAACCGGAATCCCCGAAGAACTTCGAAAATTGCTAAATTGATTGAGACAATTCAGTTATTCTTAGTTACAATCCACGCCCATAAACACCGGTCTAATTGTGGAATAAAAATTTAAGTTAATCAACAACTGCAGATGTTTTAACTTTATAGTTACATTAATTAGGAGTTTATAAAGATGAAGTAATTCACAAAATAACTTATCGTTTCTAAAAAAAAAACACTTTTTCTCACGAGTTAATAAAACTGAATGACATTTATCAATATTTATCAAACGATATCAACATGAAATAATTCACTTATTCATATAAAATGAGGTAAGAAAATGCATACGTTGTTTTGACCTGTTGTTAAATTAACCTTTATGAAGTTGTGCTCATCAAAGACAGTGTTTTGTCGATAGCAATCAATGTAAAATAAACATTATTGTGTATTCTGAATTATCCGATTATACAAGAATTGTTGCAGTTGGGAAAAAAATGAACTTTAAAGAATTGAAATTCTAAATTTAATTTGATAAATATAACGGAGTCTGTGGAGTAACATATACGTTCAGAATATTAGAGAGTACAGAATGTTTTGAGGTCTATATTTAAAAAAGGTTACAACAAATCATTACAAATATACGGTGTCAGGTTATAATCATCGCGATACACACATAACTCGAAACAACGAACACTAAAAAAAAGGTTTGTGAAAAGTCACTAATATGATATATTTGTCTATTGTATCAGAAACAACGATTGCATAGACAAATTTGCATGCAAAGGATGACGATACAGTTTACATCTGTTAGAAATAAGATAAGCAACAAAATGTTAGAATGAAATATGCTATTTTTGCACTGCTCTAGTCAGTTGCGAGCTTCATTATATTCTACAACAGTGACATTAATCAAGTATGGTTAGATATTTTATATATAATGCCCGCCATTATTTCGTCATTTTCATATTAAATGATGTCTGGCCGACTGATTGCCAAACGTTGATGAACATTGTAGTCCAGTCATTCTAGCTCAAAATAGAGCCAAACCTCAAACAAATTGCAACAGAAAAATATTTTGAGTGTTTTGAAACCCCAGACCTATATTGTATAACATATCAAAAAGTCTAGAAAAATCTAAATTGGAGAATGTTTTCAGAAATTGAGATCAAATATATGGGTATCATTGTATATATTTTTTAATTTGAACTCAATGTGATACACACATACAATTTTCCAATCAGTTTTATATATATTATGCATAAAAATATAGCTTAATCTATCCTATAGTAACATAAAGTAATCAAAAGTTGTTTTGTTTAAAGAAAACTACTTTTTACCTGTCTAAAATTTATTAATTAACTTAAGTGGGTGGGGTAATATTATATTTTTTACATTGCTGTAGATCAACAATTTATTGAAAGCTCTATGTTATATGATATTAAACAGAAAATACATAATGGTTTACGTACATGTGAAAACTGTCAAGTTTCAACGTTTTATGAATTTAATTTACATTCCATCAATATTTAATGCATATATTGAAATATTTATATTAACATTGTACAGCTAGTGGGTGGGGTAATTTATACAAAATAAAAGAATATATATTAAGGAAATCTATATTATCTATGATAATAAATTAATAATATTGAGTTTTATATTAACTTGAATACTTTCAAGCACATCTGTTGTATTTTTTTCTGAGTCATTATATAACATCATGACATTGGGTCAAAAGAGGTGACATTGACCTTTGGAAGGTCAATTTCAAATATTTGATACATTTGAGCATAAAATGTAAAAAAAAAAATATTTGCAAATTTTAATTTGTAAAATATCTTCGCTAAGCATAAGCACAAGAATGTCATAACTTTTACAAAGCGTCACTCGCTTCTGTAATTTCTGGTCGACCAATCTTTCACTTTTTATCACTAGATGGTAGCACCTGAAATTCTTCTGGTATATCTTTTCCAGTTCTGAAATTAGAGGAGCATAAACATGTTTGATGGTAAAGAGCATCGGCTACAAGCAAGTTGTGAACCTGTTCTATCCTTGCTCTCACTGTATCAGACAAACAGTCATTCCTCTGTATACATATATTCAAAACAGTAGGTTCTAGTGTCCTTACTGGCGAAACATCACACTTCCTTGTTTTACCCTTACTTACTAAAGATTGACCACAATATAAACAATCTTTTTTTGTATGAAAACTTATCAGTCATTGATCTCAATGGTGGCATCAGTGTTTTTTTTTTTCTGTCTTAGTGTCTCTTTTAGTGTAATGTGGGTTACAGTACATCTTTTCTACACTCAATGTGAATATATTATTCCGATTCAACTTTTAAACTGTCATTTTATTTCTCACTGGCAGCATTTATTCCCTTGCATTCCTTGTCGTTGCCTTTAACTGTCTTTGTATGAACAGCCGTTAACAAATCAGACAGGAGTTCATCTTGAAAAAAAAAACAATAACTGATATTGTAAGGTTTATAAAATCTGTTTTTTACATTATATGGAGGTTGATCCAGAATTACCCAAAATTTGTTTATAATTATGATAACTTTTTATGTTTTCTTCATTAAATTTATCAATGCGCAAAGATCAATGTTTCTTCTATTTAATTGCCAAATATAATTGATTATAAACATCCAGTACAATCTCAGGCCGCCCTAAATAACCATGGATACGCCACAGCAGCGCAACTCGTTGAAATTTATAATACACCAAAGTGCCCGACACAAAAAGGGATCATGTCCAATATTTGCCGAAGGTTAATGTAAAGCCTGCTAAAATTTCACGTCGTTTGAACATTGTATTATTGTATAATCATTTGTAATTGCAACGTTTATTTATGCAAAAACGTCTTCATTAAGGCGTCGGAAAACGGCACTTTCATAAACATTTGTCAACTGTTTAGACAGCCTACCATAGAAACATCTAATATGATAAAAGAAATTCGACACAAGTATTTTGTTAGTCATGCACACTAAACTTTTTGAGTGGTAAAAGAAGTTTTTTTACCAGACTGTTGGAGTAATTTTAAAGATAAATACATATCGTTTGCGGCATAGAAGAATACGCGTGAAGTTAACGTTTTCTGTCGCTGTGGCGATTGAAAAATACAAATATGCTGTCATATGCGGCCTTGCACAATTTCAATGCGATTTTAAAAAATGAATTCTAATTGACGATTATGTGCTGTTTTTTATATACTTTATTTGTTTTCTTTTACATGCACTTTTTATCTAATTAAATTAAATGAATCATATATTTCATGCCTTCAACTTTAAGATGATCATGTGTATGAATCACAGCAATCAAAGCAATTAGCAATTCAATAGTCATAGGTTTAGGTTGTTAGTACTTACAGAGAATGGCATCGGGAGGATTCCCTATGTATAAGAACAATAGAACATCAACCTTGTTTGCATAATGTGACAAATCCTAAGTTTGCTTATATGGTAGGCATACTGTGTTTAATTATCATATTCTTGTTTCCTTGTAAAGAGGATATATTACGCAGTAATAAAGTGTTTGTTATATGAACTTTGAATAAATATTTTGAATTTATTGTTTAAATTACGGGTATTTCTGGATCATCCCTTGCATTCTTGTATTCTGGTTATTGGTAGCTGATTACGTTTTGTTTCAGTTATCCCAGAACAGTACGTGGTATTATAAGATGTATTTTTCCTAAAAGGCTTTCCTTAAAATGTTTTAGGTGTATTTATTTGATCAAAGTTGCTGATATGACACACTTTTCTTAAATATCAGACTGGCGTTTCCGTTAGTATTACCATGCCGGAAAATTTCATCTGGCATAGGGGGTGCCAGATGAGTTGCGTGCTGTACAATGTCACGCTTAAGCCCCAGTCACATTAGAGCTTACGACCAGTGAAGACCAGTTCACGATCACCAGTGACCTCTTTAAAAACGTCTTACGACGGTCATCGGTGATCTTTGACAGTCGCAGACTATCTTATTTAGGTCCACGACCAATTTCAGTCGTAGAGAGGTTTTTGAGCTTGCACAAAAACCTCCTTGCGATCAAACAGGTCGCTTAGTGATCTTATAAGGTCTTAGGCTGTCGCACGATGGTCGTTCCGAAGTGCGACAATCTTACGACAGTCTTTACAAATTGCCACTAGTCACTGATAATCTTGAGTAGTTTAAGTAATCGGGTGATGGTCGTACGACTAGTTGTAGGTGATCGCATGACAGGTCACGGGTAGTCGTAAGTAATCCCACACAATCTTGAGACCATCGTACGTTTGCTTATGACCTGTCGTGCGATTGTCAATGATGACTGGTCTTACGATAGTCGCAGAAGTAAATTTATACGTGCAAAAATGGTTTTGGTCGCAGACAATCGCTTTGATGATTATCAGTTTTACAAGTCGCCGGTGGTCGCAAGTAATCTTAAGCTCTAGTGTGACTGGGGTTTTAGGATGACGTAATTTTACCGTTATGAATGAAGTTGTAATTTCATACGCTGTTGTACGAAAATAGTTTCGGTTGTAATGGCATAAAATTCCTATTGAAAATTAAGATAAAGAGATTCAAAATATAATGTTATATCGTAAAATATGCAAGAAAAAATATCTGACATATGTTTGCGGTTCGGATCGGAATATCCGTCCCTCGGTAACCCGCCCATGTGCGGTAACTCGGCAAGCCTCGTTACCGCCCAATGGGCGGGTCACCTCGGGACGGATATTCCGATCCGAACCGCAACATATGACATATATTATTATTATTTTCTAAGGTTTTTAATCTAAAATTATAAATATAAAATACCTACTGGTTAAAGTGTTTGGAAGTAACGTAAAGATAAAGTCACATATTAAGTTTAAAAATGTCACCTTTCAGTTTTAAGCATTCAAAAATATTTGTACTGATATGTTACTATATGGAACTTATGACACACTTTAAAAGTTTGCTTATATGAAAAATATCATTAAAGTGATTTTTGTGAAACAAATGTCTCAACTATGCATCTTTACCTTTAACTCGTATACATCACAGTGTCCTCAGAACACATGATCGGGCATACCCATTGGCTCTGGTGTGTTGATGAAATCTGTAACATAGAAATTACTTCAAGTTTGAAAGGATTAGAATCTTATTTTTCATATTTACGTGAAATAAGGTTCTATAGAATACACAGATGTTTTTATTTGTTACATGTATTTGCTTAAATTTTGATTTTAAAAGTGATAACTTAGGTGTGCATTCCGAACGAACTACTAATATATCGCTGTGAATTAATCTTGTACACGTAATGCACTTTTTCAAATTCGCGCAGGTGATAATGTATGCATAAAAGATTTTCTTTTAAATTTATGGATCAAACTGTGCATGTTTACCTTGAACTCATACACATCGCCAATCATGAACCATTTATAACTAGAAATCACGTTTGTTAATTGATAAATTTTTCATGTCACCTTTTTCATGTATAAATTTCTTCTATGTCTATTAAAAACTGAAAATAATTTCAGATATATTGAATTATGCATACGACGCTCAATTTCCTCCATGTTTAATATTCACTTAAACTAGTAAAAGATAATGTTTGATATTTGTGTTATATATGTAAAAATATTAACAAATGTAAGCACAGGAAAGCAAACTTACTCATTTAGTGTACATATAGTTTACTGGATTTTTTTTTTTTTTTTCAAAATCAAGCATACATCAATGAAGACTACCTCAAAGCGGTACCCCTGAAATAATAATAACATTACATACATTATATATGTAAAACAATTTAAAAAAACTATTAAAAAATACAAAAAAATCAACCTTGAATACACATTTAACAATAAAACATGATTAAAGTATTCATAATTTATTTAACGTAATTCGTCATAATTTAAGTAATAATGGCGTTCCATAGTTTAAAAATACTGTCGAAATTAACTTGTTATAAATACACATTTTTAGGCCGTTTTTGAATGTTTACTAAGACAGGAGTTAATCAGAGTTGTAATTTATATAAATTAAACTGTTTTCCATGAAAAGTATAATACAGATCGCTTGAACACCTGTTGACCTTCAACGGATAAAAAACTGGTAAAACAAGTAATAATTTTCAACAAATACTCATAATAAACTTACGACCCCACATTAATAATTCCTATTATGATCTGTAATATTTTAAGGAAAATATACCAACCCACTTTACAGTGTACTTTACTGACATTTATTTTGTTTACACTTATTTTGTTGTTGTTGTCGCCATTATGCAGTCGCTATTCTGAGTATCGGAGACGCTTTGTTCGCCTATGGAAGACCGTTGTCGTCAGAAAAAAATCACAAAAAATAACGCGATAAAAACCTGTTTTTTTCTATGTTGCGCAACTTAGATTTAGCTAGACTTTTGATATGATTCATGTTATTCCATATACTTTCTATACCAAGTAAAATATTTTCTGTTGCAATTTGTTTGAGGTCGATTTACAGACTGACTGGACTATTGGGAATATCTTATGTCTTGCCAGGAATGATCAGTCTGTTAATGAATACAAATAGTTTTGATTTTCAAAAATGATAAAAATGATCAACAGAACACAGTCCCCGACATAATATTCAACATCTGAGCTCATATCGCATAATAAAACTTATGAGCAGGCTATTTTTAGGTAAATTAGTGTTCGACTTGCTGTATATTTCAAAATATTTCATACTATCAAGTTTTAATGAACACATCATCCTTACACATTTTGTTGTATGCCTTAAAACTGTGGAGTCTTTATAACTGTGTCAATATAATTGCCTTCAAAAGTGTACAGGAAATAACTTTCCTTATGTAAATCCTGCATAAGGTTTCTTTAATCATAAAAGAAATTGTAGTGTAAACCATTGTGCTTAGTTTTTTAGAGAAATTCCGTGAAGAAGCAGCACGGATAATGGACGCTACTAAAGTAGAGTTCAAAATGAAATTTATTCTTTTATTACTTTATCTCAAAAAAGAGGGGAAAAAGATAAATTTTTTTTCCTAGAAATAAAAAACAAATTTGTATTTTTAAAATTTTGGGTAAAATGTCTTAAAATCGGTTAAATTTTTCCCCAAAAAAAGATAAATCAATATTATTGGGGAGTTTGAGGGGAATTTCCCTTTTTTATTGAGATATGGGCTGTTTTACGCAAATAATAAAATATTTGAGGGTGAGGAATTTTCCCAACCCTATGTTTGAGACTTTCCCTAAACGAATGATTGAAAGCAGAAGCTTTTACAGTTTCTCTCGAGTGGTACATTCATTATTATAGATAACATTATTAATATTCCGTGGCAATGTCTTCTCACATGTCACATTAATCAAGCCTTATATAATGTAATACAATGTCAATCATGTAGACCGGAATGTTGTCTGGGGTATTGGGTTCATACTGGGTATGCTTTGAATACATGAACAAAATATTTGAAATATACTGTTACACAAAAAATTATATAAAAAAACGTTTCCAAGAAAAGAAAACAACATAACAGCTTAAAAGCGTCACAATAAAAAAAAGAATATTTACACTTTACACTTATTATTGGCGTCTGCGCCGAAGCGCGGCGCCTCTTATGGAATGAAATCAGATTTTGTGAAAGGGCGACAGCAACTTTTCGAGCCTTTTATAATAAAAGCCGATCATTCCGATCGGTATGAGGGTGCTTGATTATTAATTAAGAATGAAATGTCGCGATATGTTACAATGAATAGCGAACTGGAGAATTTCGCAATGCAAACATTTTCAAATAAAATATCGCGCTCTTCGGGGGTTTTTATTTATCATTTTGTAGTACACACTTGGTTATCATGGTATGTTATTGTTGTACATGTATCCTAGAATGATAAATTGATGACCTAAATATTCCGAAAATCTATTTATAGATATATCTATTTATCACTCCTATCGGTAATTCCCGGTCTCTCCAGGTCTATTTTGACCGGGACACGTTTATTGTCCGGTCTCTCCCGGTTTTGGAGTAGATGTTTGATATCGTTACAATTCGAAAAAAAAAAACCAACAACAACAACAATAACATGTTTCATTTTATCTATATGAGATAAAAACAATAAATATGTACAATAATTGAGAAAAGGGTACATTTTTATGGTATTAATATGACATTATCAACTTTGAAACATTTTATTTAATTTGTTATTCGTGTTTAGTAAAGATGCCGATGAATTATTCAAAAGTTACAAATTAGATTTTAGTAATTATTTAATTGATTTATAATTTAAAAAAAATGATAAAGAAAAATACAAATGTACATGTACATGCTATGGTTTAAGAATAAACAATATTATATATTGAAAGATTAACCATAATTTACTGACCTTTTCCAGTTAAGTTTTGACTTATAATCGTCGGTCAATTCTTAAAACTTATTTAACAATTTTAATAAAAAAAGAGTAGTAAACATAAAAACTCAGTATTAAAATAGCACATAAAAACACAAAAAAGAAATGAAAACAATATTCATAAAATTTGTTTCTTTTTTATTAAAATTAATAGATATTACAATTATTGTATGACAAACAATTATGCTCAACATGATCAACATGGTAATATAAGTGTCATATTTATATAAGTGTCATATTTTAACTAAGTGTGAACAAATACCTTAAGCTAATAGCGATAACATAATAAGGGACAATTACACAAGAGTGGTACGTTTTGATCATGCGTTACACATATGGATTATAAATGACTGTATACATGTATATCCGTTGCTATTAATAACCACGATCATAAAGAAATAACAAGTAATATTCTAATCTCTAGCATGCCAATCAACGTTCATAATGAACAATGTCTTTCGTCCGCTCATTCATAAGTAATATACAATTCTGGTAGTTTATAAGAATATCTTGTCATCATTTGTCTACTAGTTCATCTTCACTTGCTGCATTTCTTGCTTGGACGCCCTTTGATGCTTTGCATCAATGCTTTTCTTGTTATTATTTGAACTTAATGCATCGTGGTTAACATCTATATTGTCAGATAATTAAAATAACGACTAAACAATGATTTGATATTAATCAATGTAAGATATTGTTATTGATCATAAATTGCACGATAAATGACTCATCAGTAAAAATTTTAAGAAACTGTTTAAAATTGTGTTTTTTTAACTAAAAAACGAGTCTATGTAAGTACAATTTTTTTTTTATCAGATAACTTTTATATTTTATTGTTTATTTCTGTGTAAAATTTTCAACTCAAATTTATTCAGTTCACAACATAGGACGATAGAGTCGAAATAATAAAAATGTCGACCGAATTTTAATACTAAATGAGTTGCCTTGATCTTTGGAGCCATCAATGAATACAAATAAACTTGATATTTTTGTGTGTATTTTGATTCTACGATGCATTTTACTGAATCTAAATGTACGAAATTTTATTGAACTATTTTAAGATATGTCTCGTACAAATGCCTATAACATATTCATTTGGACAAATCGTTTTCCAACACGAAATGACCGATTGAACTTTAAGAAAAACACTAAAGTAATGGTTGTAATTTATTCAGAAAAACCAGAATATTTCAAATGATTAATCTGCGACTGTAATTTGCCGATAAAGAACGGTGAAAGGTGATTGATAATATGTTACTTATTCCCTAACGCTCTTAATTTGGAATTCATGTTTTTTATTCATTCCAGACACAAGAATATGTTTAGCACTATTATATTGTGTCATATCAGTAATTATTTTTAACTTGCTTTTTTCCAATATTGCATTAGCTATAGAAATATCTGATCAAAAATGTAAAATGATTAATTTCCGTATACCATTCTTTTTATTATTATCTAATTTAATATACCTTATATGTAACGTGCCAATGAGCCAGACTATAGTCGATCGTTCTAAAACTTAATCGTTGATAGAGGTAATGACTGAGGCATTGTCACTCACTTCATTTGCTCCGCCTCTGTTAAAGTTCGGCTCCGCCTTAAACTGTCACCAAATTTAATATGATGCTCCGTATGCTAGCATTTTGTCTTCCTAGAAACCACGACAACTATGATCAATTACACTTGACAAATCATTAAATTACAAGTTACAAAGCCTAAACCACGCCCACTTTTAGCTCAACAGTTAAGAAAGTACGCTTAACTCAGGGAACAAGTGCAATGACTTAAATACGCAATGGAGATTTTTTGGCGCTACGGGTGCAGCGGAAATTTTCTTTTTTGCAAAACAGGCAAAACATGTGCTACATGTAATTCATGAAAAAAATTAACATTAAGTTATATAAACTGAGTGCAAAAAGTACGTTTATTTTAAACTGTATCACAAATATTTGCAATATTTTATGTGACTGACGATTGTTCTCTTTTGCCTAGATATTTTGTTACATTAAGAATTGATTATATTTAACAATTTATTTATAACTATTATTTTATATTACAGACATAGATTTCCTATTTGTAAAACAACAGAACAGTTCGTCCTCAAAATCATTCGAACATTATGCAATTTGCACCAATATTAAAATGAACATATTCTCGGCACATATTGTCTTGAATTTATTTTAAGTATACCAATCATTGTTATCCAATTTATTTTGCTTCGACGCGTATCAATCTTTGTCGCAACCGGCGAACATTTCAGAATTTCAGACATGGCATTACTTTGTGAATTACTTTGTTGTACTTTTTCAAAAAATATGCAACTTAATTATTAAACATGGAGCACATACCACGAACATGGAGAAAAACAAATTGGCTCTTCGGATATACAACTGTACAATAGAACGATTTTCAATGCTGATTTTGTACATTACCTGTGACTATTCATATCATTTGGCGGCGTCTTTGATGCGCAGCATCAACATTTAACTTGTAAACACATTGTTTTGTTTCTGGGACAGAACATTAATCAATTAACCTTTACAACCAAATTATTAATTTTCTATATGAGTATACAGAGTGGAACAATTCCGCATACATGAAAAATACAGAAAAATGCATGACATTACATTATGTTTAGAAAATAATTCATTACCTAGAAAGAAAACGATTCTTAGAAAAATCACTATAATTATACCTTTTTTATACAGATGTGTTGAAAATATGTGCTTAATGCCTACTTATTATAGTATACGGTGCGGTATGACCAGGTATTTATCAGTGTCTGTTAGATAAAAAACGAACGAACAAACAAACAGATAGTGTTATTGCTGCACTCTTATTTGAAAAAAGTGGTACATTAAAGGGGAATTGTTTTGTATTGCTCCAGTCAGTTCCTCACTTAATGATGTATAGCAGAAAGAATATAAGAAAGAATCCTAAGTCCTTTGCAGAATTCGGACCCACAACTGTGAAGGGCAAGTGCTTTGAAGTTTATCATAAATACTTTGTTTTAAGAAAGCACTATAAGTT